CCCACCCCCCGCAGGAGACATGGGCCTTCCTGGAGGAGCTGTTGGATTTCTTTGAGACCTACATCTCCTGGGCCAAGAGCAGGGTGAGTTGAACCTTCCTTAGTGGGGTGAAGAGCAGGACAGGCTGCAGGGTTTTGGGAACACTGACATGTCCTGTCCCCAGCTGACGGGAGACGTGGCACGTTGCAAGCCCATAGCTCAGACCTTGGATAATGTGGAGGCCATCACCTGTGACTACATCCTGGACTCTCTGGTGAGTGAGGCAGCAGTGTGTGAGGTGACACATGTGTGGGGTGGCAATGAGATCCCCTTGTCCCCCTCATGCACAGGATGAGGGGTACCCATTTCTGCCCCAAGCAAGCAGGGCCCAGCATCTCCCCAGCAGATTGCTGTGGCTAAGAGCAAAGGCCAGGCTGCAAGAAGGGGTGGGTGGGTGATCTTTGGGGGCCCTGGGAGCAGGAGAGGCTCTCCCAGTCACTGCCTGGGCCCTGATGGCACTCTCTCTGCACCCAGAATGCCTTTTGGTTCAGCCTGGGCTGGTGCACTTTCTTCCTGCTGCCCAGCATCATCCTGGCCACCAGACTCGCCAAGTTTTACCGCCGCATGAACATTGCTGATGTCTACAGGTGAGGAGCTCCTGCCCCCCTGTGACCATGCTGGGTCTGGGGTCACCCCTGTGGAAACTGCCCCTTCATGTGCCTCATGGCAGCCTGTGAGGCTGATCCTAAAGTAGCAGGGGCTGGGGGGGGGTGGGGTGGGGGCAGGGAAGTGGCTTGGGACCTGCAGCCTCTGAGGGTGGAGATATTTCAGAGAAGAGCCTGGCTCTGCCTGCTCTGCAACTCCTCTTTGGGCAGCTGAAGGTGTGTGTGGCCCCCCTTGGAGGAAGGAGCCTGGCTTGCATGGCAGGGCTGCAGCCCCATGGCTCAGGGGTCTGCCATCTGACTTGCTCTGCTTTGCACCATTTTCTCTGCTGGGGCCCCCAAACAGGAGCACAGCATGGTGTTGTGCAGAATGCAACACGCTGCATGGTTGGTGTCATTGCCATGAGGGTGCAGTGTTTGCTCACGTGGCCACCAGCGCCCTGGGGCTGCCCCTCATCCCTCCGGGGCCCTTTCCCCATCCCTCCGGGGCCTTCTGACCAGCAGCCCCACTCCCAGAATGGCCACCAACCCCTGAGGGTAGTGAGCAGCTTCCAGTGAGTGGATTTCCAACTGCTGAGGGCTATGGCTTTGCCCTGTGGTGCAGACATTTTTGCTGGGGGTTCCCCAGCTCCCCACCTGCTACCCCTCTGCTCTAAGGTCACAGCCACTCGGGGAGCCAGGTTTGCAGCATCCCTGTGCCCAGTGCAACCCCAACCAGCTTTCCTCACTGCCTGCCCCACTCCTCCTCGGTCCATGCCCTGGCTTCCCCAGGACCCATGCTGGGGTGGTACGTGGTGTGTGTGGGATGTGGCGCTGAGCTGGGCTCTGCCCTGCCTGCAGTGTGTCCCCATCGGTGGCCCTGGCACCCTTCACTTCCCCCTGCAGCCAGGCTGGGTGGAGACACGGGCTCAGATGCCAAGGAAACTTGTGGGAACTGAAATTGTGGTACGGGGGAGATGTGTACCAGAGCCGGCGAGCGCGGGGCCCCACTGTGCCTGCCTGGGGAAGGAGTGGTGATGCTCGGGGGACAGACACGGTTTGGGGGGCTGTAGGAGCCTGTGCTCTCTGTCCAGATGGGGCAGCTGCAATGGAGGGGACCGTAGCACCCTGCAGCCCTGTGTCCTCCTCGTGTGCCCCAGGGGAGACCTTGTCCCACTGGCAGATGCTGGACTGTCCCAAGAGGCATCTTCTTGCCCCACTGACACTGTCCCCTCTTTTTTCCTCCCCTCCAGGAATGAAGCCTTGGAGATGTAAGTAGCAGGACCAGATCCTTGTATGGGGTGGGGGACAGCTCCTGTGGCACGAGGGGGAACAGGGCACAGAGGGAGGGAGGCAAGGAGGGGAACAGGGTGAGTGCAGGCCAAGGAGGGTGCTGGTACCGGGGGAGGACTGGGAAGGTGAAACCTGTGCCACGTAGACTGTTCTGGAGTCCCCCCATCATCTTCCCACACTCCTAAATTAGGGGGTGCTGCTGCTCCCATCCTTCCCCAAGCTGGCGGGGTGGGGTGGGGGTCCTCTTTCCTGTGGGGCTGGGTGATGGGTGGGATGATGTTTGGCCACCCCAGTGCATCTTGTGCTGTCCCTTGCTCCCCTCTGTGGCTGGGGGTGACATAGATGATCTTGATTTTTGCAGGCCACCCACGTTCAACTTCTACAAAATCCCACGGCCATCCACGAGGCATTAGCCCCTGTTGCTCACAGCATGGGCACAGAGGAGATGGACATGGCTGCTTTGTCTGCTGCACCTTCTCCTTGGGTGCTGGGGAGCAGGTTGGGACCCCTTGGCTGAAACCTCCTCTCCTCTCCAGTTCCCATTATGTGACAGTGCCCTGGTATGTGTGGGAGGGGGCTGCTCCTTGCACTGCCCCAGGTGAGGCTTCACACACAGCCCCCACCAGACAGAGTAGGCTCAGGGCAGTTTGTACTGCCCATGGCACTGCAGCCTGTGCTGCTGGCTAGCAGGAACCTGCTTAGCCAGGGCCCTCGCTTGAAAAATGTGACTATTTATTTTTGCAGGGAGCCTGAATCTTTCCAAGGCTGTGATTTTTGGTGTCAAACAATAAATGGGGTGCTTGTGTGCACTGCAGGCGTATGGCTGCACTCTTCATGCCCGGCTGCAATGGAAGGATGCAGGGGTAGGGGCAGGGAGGGTTCCTCACTGCTGGCACAAGCTGGGCCTGTGCCTGGGACTAGAGGGCTCTTGCAGGGGTCTCCCAAGTGTGCCCTGCCCACAGCCAGCTCTTGAAGTCCCGACCCAGCCCACGGGTCCATGCAGGACCACTGCTCAGAGTCACCAGGGCTGGGTGATGATGCCCTCACTGGGCAGCCCCTTGCACTTGTGTCTGGGCCTTCCCTGTCTACGAGGTGCCACCCCATGCTGTCTCCAGCACACAGGCACCCTGTGCCCTCCAGTGACCCTGCTGTGTGTTACCTGTGGGTTTCCAGTTAGCTTATGGGGTGCCTGCAGCCCTCACCTCCCTCCCTCTGCTGGGTGTGGTGGCACAGGGACTTTGTGTCCACCCCTGTGTGTCCCACACTGCTGCATGGCACAGGTGGGCACAGCGAGAGCTGCATGCACGGACAAGCTGAAGGTGATTTGGTCTGGACCCATAGTGGGGCCAGTGCAGGTCTTGCTTTTTGCTGCTCCTTGGCGCAAGCACAGGGACTATCCTGAGAGCTGGGTCAGGCATGGGGGATGTATGTGAGCAGCTTGACTCATTTCCTTCAGTGCAAAGTCCAAGTCTCTCTGGAGGGAGCAACAGGGCCAAACCGGTCAGCTTGCCCTCCGCTACGTGCATCTGCTTTATCGCTTTTTCCATTTGCCTTCAGATCTTCTAATCACTGTTTTTTCCTTCAGGCGTTATCTGAAGCTGTACCAGCCTTACCTCCTGCTATCTCCCCCCAACACCCGTCCTGACTGCAGAACGCCCCACGCTTGCCTGTCACCCAGTTGAATCTGTCCTGTGAGGTGGATCAGCCTGTGCTCCTGCTCAGGGATGCCCCTCCCTTTCTGGTACTTGGGGCGGGATTTTCCAGCACCCCCTTGGAGAGCATTTAGCTCAGTTTTGTCTCCATTTGCTCTGCCTTTGCTTTTCTCCACCTCAAACCCTCAACCTCCCAAGTTGTGACTGTTTTGAGCTTCTCTAGGGGATGCATGTGGACGTTTCCATCCCCAAGTCCCAGGCTGTCCCCACCACACAGCGTTCCCCGCTTCCTCTTCCCTTGCTGTGATTTGGGGACACCAGCCCGTGCAGGACTGCTGCTGGCTTCAGTTTCCACTAGCTGGCTTTGCAGGCGCTGCTCCCTCCCTGCTCCCCTCTGCTCAGCCTCCAGCCGCAGCCTTTTCTTTGCAGAGCTAGTAGTGCTGGAAGGCAGGGAGCTTGACACTCCTTCTTCACTGTCAGCATAGCCACCTGAACCTAAACCCATCCCTGGCCCTGAAAATCTCCCCCCAAATTACTGCACAGCCTTTGCTAAGGTATGGGGCTTGCTCTCAGCAGCTCCTCATTCAGCACTGCCCCAGAGCAGCATCCCGGTCCCTGGAGCTGTGGCTCTGATTGGGGCTGGGGTCCATCCTCCTTCTCCTCCTCCTCAGCAGCCTCAGGCAGGGCCAGCAGCTGCTGGGGAAGAGGTGAGGACGGCTCATTGCAAAAATGCCCACGGTGGCTGCCACCAGCTCTCCTTTCAGGCCAGGCTCCCTCCACTCACGTGAGCAGCAGCTGCCAGAATCCACTTCCCTTGCGTGGGAGGGAAACTCGCAGCTCCCCAAGACCACAGCACAAGCACTGTAAGGTCTCATCAATAGCCAGCCAGTCTCTACAGAACCGTTGCAGTAGTTCCTCTTCCTCTTTGCCAGGCTTTTTTCTACCCACAGGGACTTTCTGCAGCCGAGCCCTTGTCTGGCAGGAGGCCCTGCTGCATCTTTACAGTGGTTTGATGAACCAGGATCCCTCTGACGACAGCTCTGCCTGGGGTAGCAGGCTCTCGCTGGGACCAGCCTGGTGCTCCCTGTTGCTGGTTTTCCAGCCAGGAACAAAGGGACAAGTTGCAGCTCTTGAGAAAAAAAATCTCCCTTCCTCAATTCTGTCTTGGACTCAGCCACAACCATGCGCTGCCTGGATGGTCATTCTCTGTGGCACACACACACACACTGCTGCCTCCACAGCTTCAGCTTCGTTGGGGTAAGGAGCTGAGTACCACAGAGGGAATGGGCTGGCCAGGCACAGCTCCATCTCTGAGGCCCCAGCATGTACCAGCAGCGAGCTGAACATGGCTGCTTTTCACCAGAAACAAAATTAAACTGCCCTCTTCCTGAGGGTGTGCATCCTCATAACATCCAACATTGCCCCAGCACTGCTTTAGGAAACTTTATTTTTAAAAGGCATCTGTCTTCCACACTGAACCGCACTCTCAAGAGGACTAATGCAGGAGAATCTCCCCCATCCCATCCCTGCTGGGCTCTGCCAGCCCAGGCAAGAGGCAGCTCCTTCCTACCACAGCCCAGATGGAGGGGCAAAGCCCCAGCCAGGGTCTCTCTCCTGGAGGAGGGGGCCAGGCAGTAAGCTCTCGAGAGAGGCTGGAACCTGGATCTTCCTGCATGATTGCTCTCAAGTTACACTGACTTTGCAAATAGAGGCACAATATGAGCCAGACAACCCTGACAAAGCCCCTTTGTGTGCAAAGGGCAAAGGTAGGGGAGATGGGAACAGAGGGCCCGGGTGTCCTGCAGCATAATCTAAGCTTCCACAAAGGAAAGGGAGAGGCAGGGCCAGCCTCAAGCTTGCACAGGCTGCTGCCAGCTTCTCAGCTCAGAAGAGAGTTTGGGTACCGTCTGGGATAGAGAGATAAGGGAATTAGGCTGCTCTCTCCAGCTAAGTAGCTGCAATCAGTCACAGCTACAGGATTGATCCCAGAGGAATTGCGGCGAGACAGTGTGCAGAGCGCTGCAGCTGCCAGCGCGTGTGCTGGGACCCCCAGTACCATGGAGCTGCACCACATGGGCATTTGGCATCTGACTGAGCCCAGAGCAGCAGGACTCAGCAGCTCCACTGCAAGAAACATGCCCAGCTTCTCACAGGCAGAGCTTGGAAGCACCCCCAACCCACTGAGCAGAGAACGGGGAGGGAAAGATGGTGTGTGTGCCTGCCCACCACTCCTAGAGGATCAGGGAAGTAGAAGTGAAGTTATAAAGGAGCCAAGAAAACCGAAAACAAAGTGCTTTGGGCAGGGAGCAGTTCTGTAGCCCTGTAGTGCAGCCAGCACTTTCATCTGCAAATGCACCCGGCATTTGCTCCTCCACTGGGGCACACGCAATTGCACTTGCTAGAAATAGCCAGAAAGCCTGCCCTGGCTTCAGATGAGATCCCCCAGCCCCAGACACCCGACAGACTCTTCGAGATGTTGCCACAGGGAGACTTCAGAAAGGAGCAGGCTTCCAGTCTGCCAGGCAGGGCAGGATTTCCTGGGGTGGATGCGGCTTTCCCCTCCCCATGCACCCAAGGCTTGGGATGCCGTTGTGCTTTCCCCCTTCACGCAGTGTCATCCTGTGCCGGTGTGGAGGGGGAGGAAGTCCTTGCCATGGGTGGCTGAGGGGCATCATCAGCTGCTGCTTTTGAGGGGACCTTGTGCTCTCGGGGTGGGGTAGGAGGGGGGAAGGTGGGGCTCTGCAAGGCATCCGAGTACATCTCGTCCTGGATGCAGGGACGCTGCATAACCCTCTGCAGCAGCGGCTTGAGCAAGCCTACAGTCAGCTGGTTCCCCTTGCTGGAGAAGGGTGCTGGGTCCCCCTGGGAGTCTGGGAGGTGCTTCAGGACCACGGTGAGGATGTCAGAGGTGGTGAGCTCAGCGGGGCACAGCAGCCACAGCCTGTCCAAATAAGGGTCCAGCTCCCGGTGCTGGGCAAACTCTGCCAGAAGTGTGGTGAATATCTCCTTGTTAAGCAAGGGGCTGAGTTTGGAGAACTTCTCTGCCACCTCCACCACCCGCTGCCACTGCTTCAGGCGGATGAGAAGGTGCAGAGCTTGCAGCACGGCCTTAGGCCTCTTGCTGCAGAGCATCAGTTCGAGCTCCATCTCATCATCTGCCACGCTGCGCTTGTTCTTCCTGGCCAGTACTCCCAGCGCTCTCTTGTACAGTGGCACCCGGCCCTCTGGGCCCTCCTTGCTGCTGTATGCCCAAGAGACGCTAACATACTGCTGAGTCAGTTCCACAAAACTGGGCAGCCACTTGGGTTTGAATCTCAGGAAGGAGGCGCAGATGAGCTCAAAGAGTGGGACCACCCCATTCTGACCCACCTCCTCCTGCTGCGGCCCTCCCAGGACTTTCTTCCACACCTCTGGGGTGGCCCTGGCTACCAAGAGGCCATCCCCGTTCTGCTGCAGCTGCAAGCAGCTCCTTGTGGCCTTCCAGGCAGCCTTGGGGAAGGAGGCAAAGACGGAGTTCAGGTAGGCCAAATTGTCCTTGTCCATGTCAGAGCACAGAACACGGCTGACCTCCTGCTCCACCAGTTCCTCGCAGTAGCTTTCCACCTCACTCTCTGGGGCACACACCACACAGGTCTTGAGGAGCTCCAGGCTCATGTAGCTCTGCAGGTCCAGGCTCATTGTGCTCAACAGCTTGGTGTAAGTGTCTTGCAGGCCTCGGGCTGGCTTCTGGTGGAGACTGTGCTGCAGGATGGCAGTGAGAGCAACAGGAGCCTGGAACACACCACCTTTCTTCAGCTTCTCCACCGTCAGCTTGGAACTGCTGAGGCTCCTCCTCTGGTAGTATCTGCAGGCTTCCTCAAACACCATCTCCACCAGGCATGGCTCAGGTCTGCTGCTGTCCTCAGGTTTGGAGAAGCTAAAGCTGTAGATGCCAGTTTGAGTGAGGAGCTGGATGCTGTCCTCCTCTCCTAGGGACTCCAGGAAGTGCACCTCTTTCATGCTCAGGATTTTCTTTTCTATGAGCCTTCCACTGTTCTGGTCAACGAGGTAGAGGACCCCGGCCAGCACGCAGGCCAGGATGCTGCCAAAGGTCTTCAGCTGAACAGGACTTCCTTGGGCCAGAGGGCCCCCCTCCAGGTCAAAGATATGCCTCTGTGTCCCATCCGGCTCCACCATGTTCACATCACCCTTTCTGCTCACCAGTAGCAGACCCTCACCGTTGGACACAGCAGAGGTGTGAATGTCCAGAGGTGCCAAACCTGAGAGAAGACCCACAGAACCAAGCAGGAGTTTCCTGAAGTCTGACTCGCTGCTGGAGCGCAGCACTTTGCTGTGGATGAAGCCTGTAGAGGGGGCTGTGATGGTGAGCTTTGCCTTCTCGGGATGCCAGATGAGGAGGAATTTACCCAAGTTTGTTGCTTAAGAAGTTATAGGTCCTTCCCCCGCTGCCCGCAGCGCGGCCGTGACCTCTAAGAGTGCGTTACCACAGCGAGTGCCCCGGGTGCCGAGCAGCGAGTGCTGCCTCGCCCGAGGAGGCCTCCCAGCAGGCTGGAGTTGCCCAACCCTTGGGCTGTGCCGGTGCAGCTGCTCTTGAGCCACAGAGCCCGCCTGCTGCTGAGGTGGTTTGGGTTCAAGGGAACTCTTTCTAGATGAAGAATGAGCAGGGCATGTTCTTTAATCACTGATCGTTCCAACTATCTGGTTTACCTCACGGTCCTACAAGCACTTGTATGGGCAAAGCAAAGGGGAGCAGTCAATTGTGGTAAAGGAGTGGGAGCGTGTTATGTTTATTATGCTGAAGGCAGAGGCAGCTTGCTACATAAGCTTGCAGCTTCAGCCAAAACCTTGTTGCGTATGTCACTGTAAGAAAGTTTGCTCTTAAGCAGAGACTGTAATCTGAATATATGATGAGAGCCAATTCGGGCTGAGCAGGTGGGTGGAATACGCAAAGCAATAAGATAATTTGGATCATTGCGATATGTGGTGATTGCAGTTCACCAGCTGTTTGAGCTCTAGGTAGAAAGCGTGACAGAAATTTTTAAGAGGAATTTTGGGGAGGGGAAAAACGACATCAGTTTGGTTTTCCAGTAATAATAACGTAATCCTCTGTTTGTGTCCCTTAGGGCACTTTTTGCTGTGTGCAAAGAGACTCTGCAGGCGGGGTATATACAAGTAAAAATGTTACCCAGTTACTGGCCAGCAGGTACAAAAGAAACAGTGAGGCTTTAATGAGCTGCTAGGCTAAGCATTCATCTGCTCACCACCCCTGCTAACACGCCAGGCAGACATCCCTCAGGAGGTGAAGGGTCAGCCTCAGCTACTCAGAGTTGCTGAGTTGCTGTATTCTGGCTCCCTGGTGGTTTTGTTTGTTTTCGGACTTACACCTTTTTGAGTTCGTGTTTTTCCTTCTGGGTGTTTGTGCTACTAATGGTCCAGATCTCAAAAACGTTACCTCTCTGCAGCTCTACCTTTCTTATCTTGTCGAGGCTCTGCTGTGTGGCTGCTTAGAACGTGGCAGCTTCCTCAGAAGTCGGAGCTAAGGTCATGCAGCTGCGCTGTATTCGGCATGGGCCTTGGATCCCCACTGACAACTGAAACCACGGGAAAAGGGCTGGGGAAGGTTACAGGGAGAGTGCTTTTCTTCAGAAGGAAGACATCTGAAAAGGTCTCTGAGTGGCATGAGCTTTTAGGTGGGAGTGTAGAGGCAGTGTGGAGTATTTCATGGTAAACTAGGTGGGATGTATTCTGAAGGGCTTGAAAAGTGAAAACTCAGAGAGACCACCTGATATGAGAGAGCTGGGCATTGTAGCCAGGAATATGGGAAGGAAGCGTGCTGAAATGAAAAAATGAATTTGGAAAAATGGCGTGAACAGATGGAGGTGGAAGCATGTGACACGTGTCTAGATGGACTTGACAGGAAGAAGCTTAACTAGTTGATGGTGTGAAGTTGATGGATTGGGTGTTATTTTAACTGGACAGCTAGAAATGAAAGGCAATTATGGATGAAGTGTGAAAAATGTAGCTTGGATGTTATTCTTTTTTATCATTGCTGAAGCAGGTGTAGTGGGAGATAGTCTGTGGCTGTATCTGCATTAGGAAACTGCTTTTCCTGTTTTTCAAGGGGGGAAATACAGGTCAGTAGTAGTGCAACTTCAGATTGTACTGTGTAGAAGCACGTACACTGCTAACACTCTGAGCAGGATGGAAGGACTTGCTGGTAAAAATGCATATACTGGGACTGTGCTGGGGATTATTTTGCTTGGTACTGCAGAAAAAGAAGTAGGATCTATGTGGGTTTTTGTCATCAGCACACCCTCAGAATATAGTTCTCATTATATACTGCATGAAGGCACCTGGAAATTCTGCAAGCTGGATCCAAGGCTTGTGTGCTGTGACTGTTACTGTTTCCCTTGGTGGTGGGTTGGGCACTTTACAGTCGTAAAAGAAGGTACATTCTGAAGAATTTTCATTCCAATGGATGATATACAAGTAAGGTTTTAAAGAATGGATGAAATATAAAACCAGCGTGGATGTACTAGCACAAACTGTAACTGCCAACGCAAGAGTTGGTGGAGAATAAGCTGCCAGAGGGCTTATAGCAGGAATTTGGTCATGATGGTTGCTAAAGTCTTGACAAAATCTAGCCTAGTGTGTTCCTTCTCTCTCTTGTTTCCAGTAGCAGCCTGCCAGGCTGTGCTGAGTGGTCCTGGGAGTTTTAATATTGGAACTTGAACTGGGTCAAGGCACTGTCTGTGCATGAGGATTCATAAACTCTTGTGCTGGGGGCAGATTCTCATTGCTTCCATTGATGGATGAGTGCTAGAACTGTGTTTTAACTGCCAGTTGCTCAGATCCAGTATTGGCTCTGTGGATTCATCACGTGGATTAAGTGCAAGTTTCTCCTGGAACTTAACTGAAGAATTTAAGGACTGTGTGGGTTATAATGTATGGCTTTAGAAGCTCTAAGTTAACTTCTAGGCAGCAGTTTATCCCCCTCTCTTGCGTGATCGAGATGATAATTTCTTTAGACTTGAGTGATACACCTGCAAAATACCTTGAAAGGCAAAGAGTGATCACACTGGGTCCCAAGTGCATGCAGTTGTTGGTGGGGACAAGTACTAGCCTTCAAGTATTTAAACAAGTGAGTTGGATCTTAGTAGCAGTGGTAAGTCAAGGGATATTGGATTCTAAAAGCAAAAGCATCTCAGTTCTTTATTCAGTGTCTTTATAAATATTGATTGAGGTCCAGGGCTTTGGCATTAACACACTAATATAGGTCACATAATTTGCACTACTTTTTTCAGATAGGGAATAAATGTGAATATATGTGAAAATACCATTTTATGTCCTCTGTTTGTTTCCCTTTTATTTAGCTAAGAAGTGTTAGAGTACATTTTTCTTGAGGTGTCCAGACTGAAAAAAAATACGCTTATTCATGTCTGGTTGTATATGGGGGTCGTGTATATGCATCTGTAATCTTGAAAACTTCTCAGGTTTCTTAGCCTAGGCAATTAATGCAAAATACAGTGCTTGGTGGGCTGCATGCGAGATTACAGAAGTTACAAGTTTTGGATCCTGATGTTGTTACAGTGTAGATGTGCGTTAGTGTGATGTTCTCTACAGCAGTATTTTTGCTATTAAAGGATGATCTATGGAAAATAGGATGTATGTACAGGAGCTGAGTGACAGTGTGGAGCAGCCACAGTTTTCAGTATGCACAATTCTGAATAAACCTCAGCCTTAAAATGTCAGGTTCACTCTTCCTGTGGCTACTCTAACAAAAGGCCAACAGAGATGTGTTCATCAGAATGTCACATGTTTGGTTGGAATCTCTGCTATGAGCTCTGGAATGAAATGGAAAGGAGGTGGATGTTTGGTTGTGCTCATCCCTTTCTTCCTGACTGGATCAGCTGGTCTCCTGGGGTTGATGATAGATAAAGCAAGAGTCTGCCTGAACTTCTGTCTGCCATGAGTTTTATCTTCCTGTCTTTGTGCTGCCAAGACTCGTGCTCTGTTGAGGTTTCTTTTAGTTCCAGATGAAGCATCTTGGATCTGCTGCTGCACAGTAAAGTACTTGCTGTTCTAAAAATCCAAATGCATGCGCTTCCCTGGCCCTGAGGGGTAGTTCTCCTGTCCAGTCAGTAACTACAGCAGGATTCATTTAGCAGCATGTGTTAATGAGACTGACCTATTGACAGAATAAATCATCCGTTTGAACCTAAAATGTGGAAAATGCACTGATGCTTTTTTATACGTGATGCATTTAAAGGATAATTGTTAACTATATTCAGTGTTGTTGTTTTCATTAGCTGTCACGGTGTCCTTATAATTTGACACCTCTGCAACTTATTTATAAATGTTTTGTGCATTTAACTGTTGTTTTCTGCAGCTGCCTAGAAGGTCCCCATTAGCAAAATGCAGTTTCCTGTTTCTGTCTTTATGACATCTAGAAAATGTAATCGCATAAAGTGAAAAGAAAAAGCCATTTGTACAGCCTGATCATCATAGGTCATGAAACAAGCGCAGCCTAATAAAGCATTGGCATGAAAGGCGACTTTTGCTTTTCTCCCTTGTTCCTCCATATGCTCATTTGTAGAACAGCAAATTATAAACAAGAACATTATTTAATCCTTGCCTCTAGCAGTCTTCTTTGTATGTGCTCTGTGCAGCTTTGGTTGAGAGAATATGAATCTCAAGTCCCATTTTGACAGAAACTAGAATGTTCACATGATCGTGCAATCCCTCTGATGCTCACCCAGCATCAAGCCTTTGTATCTTGTGGGATTTAGATTTTTCTGTCTTTCTGGAAATGTAGGAAAAGTGTTAAAATGCAGCTTGCAAAGGCCAGGGACTAAGCAGAGCATGTTGATCCCTTCTCATTCACATATGCATTTGATGTGAGCACGCTGACCTAGAAGCACTGAGAGTTAGTTTATTAGTTTTGACATTGGGATTCGTTAGCTGTAATTCAATTAGAAGCAGGCTGATGGATGTGTTTGTATGCTGGGGCTGGCAGCTGCTTTAGATTCAGAAACTTACAATTCTAGTTGGGAAATTGTTTTGTGCAATCTTGGGTAAGATTTGTATTGCTAGGCTAAAAGTGACATCGTTCTTGATTTGGTTTTTAATAGATTTCTCTCTGTTTCCAATTAAGTTTCTAATTAGAATAATGTCTTATTTCCCATGACAGTTTAAAAATAATGCAAAGTCTGTAAAAGAGGAGCTATCAAGATGATTGAATAATGTTTTCTTTTTGGTTTGTTAGACTGAAAACTTCTTCCATCTTAACTGGATGTATAGACCTGCCTAGGCTACAGGAATAATTTCGTTATTTACAGAAGGTTATGGTGCAGTAGTTGCTAAACTTTCTTCTGTCCATGTGTCTTGGGGCTGTTTCCATTCTCAGCCCAGCACACACAGCAGCCCTTGACCAGCCAGCTGTGCGTATTCCCTTTCTAGTGGGAAGGCAGAGCACACAGCTTTTCAGGTGTGAGATCTGCTACTCTCTGTCCTATCCTCTGCTTTCCCATCCAGTCAAAGCTCCTTCCTTCACATCTGGCGTAGGGTCTTTGGCAGAAGCATTGTTTCACAAGGCCCAAAGGTGTTTTTCTGCTGCTTAGAACTGAGATTTATGGCTCAAGGGATGGATGTCTGAATAACTGACTCTTGGGAGCCTGAGAGTCCTAGTTGAGAACATAGTTGTAGTTTATACAATCAAAAGTTGTCTGCAGCGGAAAGAATGTAGAAGAGATATGGAGTTGGCATTCAGTAGTTGCTGGAACTTAGTCTTTGAGGGAAAGATAGATCTAAACATGCTGCGGTTGTAGAATGGGTTCAGGCAGCCTGGGATGGAGGCTAAATCCAAAGTTGTCTCTATGGCTGCCAGCTCAGAAAGCTCTGGGTCTTAGATGCTGACTGCAGTGAACTTACCTTTCTATGCGTAATTTAACACGGCTGAGTGCAGCTACCACAAGAGCCTGCCCATGTTTTTCTGGAGCATGAGTTAAGTCAAGACTCTGCCTGAAGTATGCTGCTGCTGTGTGTGTAATTGCCTTTGGAGGTGTGGGAGAAAGGTTGGGAGCTCAGGGATGTGAGAAGGGATGGCATTCCCTTTCTGCTAAGTACTTCAGTGCTGTAGTGACAGAGGAGGTTAGAACAGTGCTGAAGCTGGAGGCTTGCCAGAAAAATCTGTGATTGCAGATAAATGCATATTTGTGAGGTCAGAGTGGTGATGTGTTTTGTAGCATCAGACATGAGGTTGAGAGAGTACATGGCAAGTCACGCGTTCT